TATGATGGAGGGAAAGGACGCGCTCTGTGGGAAGGGGCTAACTGCAGAGTGGAATTAGGGCACAGCAGCAGGGGAGATGGTGGCTCCACTGCAGTAAGTCTTGCCAGAGTAAGGTTGGATAGGTGTAGGTGGTGGGCAGTATCAGTTCCTTTCTTTAGGATGTTTCCCCTATTGAGATGTTGTTCTTACGGGGGGTTGGGCTTGTTTTTACTCCCTATGGAGAAGATCCGGGTCCTTGCTCCAAGAGGGCTGGGGGGTAAGAGGGGGAAAGGGGGGCAACCGAGGGGGGATTGTGGGTTTTGTTAGTAGGTCAGAAGGAAGGGGCTGGGACGACGCAGGCCGGTGCTGGAGTGTTTTCGCTCTGTGACCCGGAGAGGAGTATGAGGCTTGGGGAGTTCTGTCGAGGGAGGAAGACAGAACCAGCACTTTCAACATGGCCGTAGCTGGGGTGTATCCCTGTCACCGCTTGGGGCGTGCGGCTATGGGGAGTTGCCGAGGGAGGAAGGCACTCCTCACCATCTTCGCTAGGTTGGTCGGTACTGGGGCTTGGTGGGGTCCTGTAACTCTAGCATGGGAGGATATGAGACCAGTCATGTGTCACTTGAGGACTGAACACGAGACCTGTAGTTTTCTTCAATAGTTGCGGGGAGAGTGGGTGGTTGTTTGTTTGTGCAGTCCTTACTAATGTTCTCTGGTTCTGGATCCTTGGTAGTATTTAGCCCTTACTTGCAACTGGGGTGTAGGAGTTCAGAGAGGGTCACAACGGGACTGACATCCGCATAGCTTTTTTTTGTTCTGTGCCCCTGTTTTGCCGATGCCAGAACGACGCTGGCCGGAGCTTTGGCGTCGCCCTGTGACGTGCAATCCACAGGAGTATGAGGCCTTGTAGAGAGATCTGGGGGTTGCCGAGGGTGGAAGGCAAGCCAGTGGCGAATCGGGGGGGGCTGCGTAGTGGCGAGAAGAGATTAGTTATGAGTGATGTTAGTATGGTTGGTACTGTCCCTGAGTAAGTATGTTCCGGGCAAAGGAAGGCTAGGAATTACCTTAGGAGTCTAGATCTAAAGGTCTGCTGGTTTGTTTGGTTACTAACAGGAGTCTTTAGAGTGTTTTAGGAATCTGGGGACTTCTAATAACCCAGCTTAGATGATTCAGTACTGATGTATTCAGTGACCTGCGGAGTGTTTGATGCCAACGCTGGCCGGTGCTGGGGCATTGCCCTGTAACCTGCGGATGCAGGAGCGTGAGGCTTGGTAGAGAGATCTGGGGATGCCTTGGGGGGGCATTCTAAGGGACAACCAAGGGTTGCTGCTGAGACAACGCTGGTCGGAGCTGGGGTGAGTCGTGTCACCCTGTAACCCAGCAGGGTGGGGGTGCGAGACCTGGAAGAGCTCAGCAGTGAGTTTTGTTAGTGTTGGAAAGATGGGTTGCTAGGGATTCGTAGATTTCTGAGCATTAGTGGACTTCTGGGGTGGCGTTTTCAGTTGTAGCAGACGGATTTCCCTGAAGTTTGTCAAAGTAAATTTTTGAGTAGCCTACAAGTTTTCATAGCCAAAGTCGGGTAATGGCTCCGGCACCTTAAACCACCAGTACCTCGCTCAGCTATGGGCCGCGGGCACTCCCGTATATGCGCCGCAGCCCTGGGGGGTCGTTCAAGGGAAGGCCCGGTCGCTGCACGAAGGCCGGGCTCCGCTTCCCTAGGAACGACACACTTGAGAAAACAAAAAAAAA